AATTCTCCAGCCAGCAGAGCTCTGCTGGCTGGAGAATTCTGGGAGTTGAAGTCCCCAAGTCTTAAAGTTGCCAAGTTTGGGAACCACTGTCCTAGCTCATCATGTCCCACAATCCTTTATGTTTGTTCTAATGTTGCTGCTTACATGAATTAGCTGGAGAATCGTAACATCTGCTGGCAAGTAAAGACTTTTCCTTTTCCATCTCTTCTTTTAGTATCAATTGCCCCAGGCCTGAGTTTAGCTGCAAATGAGAATTTCAAGGAAAAAGTAAGCTAGAGAAAAAGATTCACATCATGCAGATTTTGGCACATAGAGAGAATTTACATTCAGATGATAGCCACCTTCATTAACTGTTCCTCCTGCAGCTGTCGGCGCCTCTGAAGTTCTTCTAGGTCTTCATCTCTACCAGTGGATCGGCGTCTCATATCAAAACCTACTTCCATAAGCCACAGTAAAAAGAACTACTTATTTCAAGTATAGGTATAAGGAGCAATAATCAACCTACTATTTCCTCCGAGTTGATTGTTGGAAGAAATTAACTAAATACTTAAGTAAATACCTAAATAACCCACCAATTCTGTTTCAAAACAGTGTTACTCAAATAATCTGATTCTGAATTAAATAATACATTAAATGAAACCATTTGGATGATTAAGTGCATAATGTTATGTACTGAGAATTTTACAGAATATAAAACATAATTTGTAACATTCTGATTAATATTGAGAATTTTGTTAAGTAAGAGGAATCTGTTGAGGAAAAATAGAGACCAGACTTGTAGGAAGACTTTTGTCACAGCTATTTATTCACTGTATTTCCAATATTAGAATCATAATTTGGCCCATAGTATTTTTCTACTTTGTTTATTAAAAACCCTATTTTAATAGCTTTGTTAAAGATATTTTAGGAACTAAAATATATTTGGTCTCAAATTCGAAATTAGTCTGAAGAGTTAGAGGGTATCCTATACCTTTTTTAAAAAAAAACCATAAATCCTTAGTTGCTGATATAATTCCTCTTACTTTTAGTTATAGTAAAATCAATATATGATTTTAACAATCTCAATCTATCATGATAACTGTACTAACTTCATTTAGTCAAAGCTGGTGAATTCCAGAGGTGAACTGCTCCTGGTTTTACTACCAGTTCGCTTTGTGCACGCTTTGTGCTCATGCCAGGCGCATGCTGTGCATGCGTAGTTCAATGTAAAGTGTTTTAGGAGCCGAGGTGGCGCAGTGGTTAAAGTGCAGTACCGCAGCCACTTCAGCTGACTGTTAGCTGCAGTTTGGCGGTTCAAATCTCACCAGCTCAAGGTTGACTCAGCCTTCCATCCTTCCGAGGTGGGTAAAATGNCCTCCTGCACCTCAAAAATAATAAGACCTCCCAAAAATAAGGCCAAGTGCTTATTTCAGGGATCAAAAGAAAATAAGACTTATTTTCTGGGAAACACGGTATCTAGAATATTTATACACCATTATTCAGGGAATGGAATGGTAGGAAAACTGTCCCTCAGAGTGATTCATTGTTTTGGTTCTTGCTATCATCTTTACAATATTTGGTTGCTTTCCAGTTGTACCAAAGCATTTTATCCATTTTAACAAGTAAAATTTTTAATTCCTTCTACATCAATAAAGTCTTTTCTATAATCAATATATTGAGATTTCCATAACATAGTAATATTCAAACATGTAAAGAGAAGGGTTATATTTAAAAAATAACACTACATTTTTACTTGGCCATTTTATACAGCCCACATGCCTGTTTTATATAAAATACATTGGCATATTTTTATTCCATGGCCACAATAAAATATAAAAAAGATAGGAAACCATCTCGAGAAGAAGAGCAAAGATATAACAACAGAATAAGCAGATTTATATTTGGACTTTCGTTGTATAGTATTATAGTTAGGAAAAATCTATCAATGAGAGAACTATCACTCATTGCTCCTTTGACAATCTTAGAAATGTTTGCTGTACTGACAGTAAGACACTCTTTCCCCTAGTGTCATAGTTATATCATTAATAATAAAACAAGCAGCTTAACAACTTTTAAGAAATTCTTCTAAGACGTGATTAACATAGTTGATGCACTGTTGATGAATTTGTTTCTGTTAACTTGATGGACGAAAATCTTTACCAACCTGGTAATCTAAAAAGGGATATATATTGAGAAAAGACACATAATTAGAATAAAATTTATTCTGCACAAAAGTTTTAAGCTCAGAGTCCTTTCCTAAAAATTATCAACCCAAAATACATATATTTCCTGCCTTCGTTAAATTTTAATTTTACTTTTACAATGTCCTCTCAGTTTGAATATAATGTTGAACCAACCTCTCCACCCTTTTTTCAACAAATGGCAAGTAAACAAATATTTCAAGATTAAGTATGGCATCTAAAAGCTGTACGTGAGAGAAGACGTTATGTGCTACTATAAAAACACAACAGAAAGCATAACTGCTGAAAATAACTCAAAACCCATCTACAGCCCAAACCTCACATTCTATTTCCTTTACAAACTCACCGCGAGTTGCATTGCTCACGTCTCCATAACTGTTGTACTGACCAAAGTCTGTGGACATCGGCTATATGAATATATATAAATAAAAACATGAACAGGTAAATCACATTATCTGTACATTGCATTATCGGTAAAAAGATCACCACAAAGGTCATGCGAATAGCACACTCATTTATTTTTATTTATTTATTAGGTTATTTTTACCTCCCCCATTTATTATGTTTATAAATAACTCAAGGCTGAAAACCCGATACTCCTTCCTTATCCTATTTTTCTCACACCAACAACCCTGTGAGGTGGGTTGGGCTGACAGAGTTGATTGGTTCAAAGTCACTCAGACAGTTTTCATTGTTAAGGTAACACTAGAACTCAGTTTCCTGATTTCTAGCTTGGTGCTTTAACCACTAGACCAAACTGCCTCTTATCTGGGAGTATCCATGAAATCACAAAACTGAAATTTAAAGTGTACTTTCTTGTATGGGAAGAATGATCTGCTCACCCTGTGGAGTCCATTTCGTCCATACCCAGGCAGTGAAGAAGTTTTAGAAGCAGCAGCATGAGAAGGAGAAAGGCCTGAAAGGAGAAAACAATAATTAGTAGGAAATAAAAATACATCGTCAAAATCACAGCATCTTAGAAATCAATCAAAAATCTCAAAGTGTAAATTTGCATCTGTATGGATTTTTTAAAGCAATCACTTTACCTTGGCTTTGTCCAGTAAGTCAAATTTGGATGTAAAATTTTCAATTCCTCTCTAATTTTACAGACATAAATGGATTTTAACTGTGTTCAAGTCACTCTACACATTACACAGCAACAATTTCCAGCTAGTCATGCTTTATGGTCATGGTTCAGCACAATGTCAAATTCTGAGTCTTTGATGCATATTGCTTAAAACATCATTTTTTCTCCTAATTAATTTTCTTGCACATACTAAACGAGCAAAATGCTGCTCTTATGTCAGTAGTTATTTACAAGCCAGGATTGCTATTGTTTCCATATGGTGCAAATTGGAGGCAGAGACTGAGGTTAAAAAAAAAGTAGCTTGTTTAAAGCAATCTGCTAAATTTATGTCTCAGATTAGCCTTGAATTGACTGTTCTCTGTAATCATACACAAAGATACATTTGTATACCCAGAAGTGAATCATTTTTATAGATTGTTGTCTGGAAGTAAGTGATCTGATGCAGACAGAATGAAAACTATAATCATCCTTGTCGTTCTTTAGTTTTGTTACTATCATGGCCCTGAGTCTTCTGGCGTAATATGTTTAAAATATATTTTAGAGATCTGGAAAGGACACAAACTCCACCCCACCCCAAATTATAATGAAAATACATAAGGGATGGGTTCTGGCTGCTGCTACACAGCACAGAAGCAAAAAACAAGATGGCAGCACCTCTGGTGGTGCCGATAGAACCAGTTCGGGGGCGTGGCAGGCTAAGTTACTACCTACTCGGCCGAAGCAGTCTGAAGCAGTAGGCACCCACTTCTGAAATACATGCATGTAAGCATACATCTCATATACAAAATTCCTATAAGCAAACAGTAATTATATCTTTGCTTTTTCTTTGAAATGTATCAGTTTACCCCAAAGACCTGTTTCTTTAAAAAAGAAACTTAAACATCAGCATACAGCATATAAATACATAATCAGTCTTCCTAGTTACCTATATAAAGTTGTTATGGTGAGTACATGCGTTACTATATGCAGTATAGTGGCTGCTCCGGCCCTTTGGAACGAGCTCCCCATGGAGATTCGGACCCTCGCTACCCTTCAGGCCTTCCGGACAGCCGTTAAGGCCTGGTTGTCCCAGCAAGCCTGGGGTTGAGTTCCCCCCCCACTCGAATTTGCTGTGCTTGCTGTGCTTTTTTAAACTGT